TCCAGAAACACCTTTAGCAAGTGATGTGCTCATATCTGACTAAAATTTGATCTGATGTCTTTTTTTTCTTTCTAACAAGTGAAAGCTTCATTTGGCACTAATGCGGTAGATTAGCTTCATCCTTGTCAGTGCATTAGCAGGACCCATATACCGGTGATAAGATACCATAAAGATATGTCTCAGCCTTGATGTTAATGTAAAAGTGTTTCTGGCATAAGACTCACAGCTGGATACATTGTGGCTTAGATGAAGTGCGACTTAAATCTGTGCATATGTGAGACTCTGTAAGAGTGAAGTGCCCTATGCCTCTGACAATAACTCAGTGTGACACAACTGTGCAGTGAGTGTGTAATAACAGATTCTCCTTACACAGTACATCTCCTTTCTCTAGACCAAATTCATCCTTACATATGCCATGCTGCAAACTGCTAAAGGTGTATAATTCTGTAAGTCACCAAGACAAGTTGTGTCTCTGCAGTATTACAGCACCTACAGGCAGCAAGAAGGCTTCACCAGTAAAATAGACAGGTCCTCTAAACAGGTTCTCTGGCTGCTGGGTACAAATCCCAGACTCAGGCTGTAGGTTTGGTGTTTTAGGAGAGTGAGGGAGAGGAGAAGTTCAGAAGATTCATCCCTCTCTAGTGATGCAGGAGAAGCTTTAATTCTTCAAACCACCTTGCACTAGGTACAAGAAAGGGTCACAGCACAGCCCATGGGGCTTGGTTTTGTTCCTTTCTGTCCTTCAAGAGGGAGGCCTCATCCGGTTATTGGGATGTGGAAGTCTCACAAACCTGATCCTTTCCAGGATCTTCTTCTGGAGACATGCTACTACTGTCAGTTAGGTCCTAAACCTGCCCAGACCTGAGGAGTAAAATGGGGTCATATGGTACCTCTCCTAGTATAGTTACATACTCGTCCCTTTATCTACACAGACACTCTGCACAAATGTCATTTTGATGAGTTTGGAAGGAAACCATGAAAACAAGTGTTTTATGGTTAACAAGGTTAAAATGCTTTGTTAAGCAAAAAGAAAAAAAAAAGAGCAGAAAAGGAATGTTTTAACTTTTGGAATGAAAGCCAAGCAGCAGAGCTCCCTGAGAAAGGGAAATTGTTTTCTGGCAGGGCTAACCATGGCATAACGCCTGTACTTTATCTTGGCTCTGGAGCTGCAAGGGTGGGCAGAGACCTCGTTCAGCTGAGCTCACCTCTGTGGTTTACTGTCCTGCTGCTCTGAGGACCATTATGGTTACAGATTTCAGCCTCCTGGACTGCACAGTACCAAGTACTCGTTCCTCTGTCCTGTCCACTTCAATCCTCTTGTGTGACAGGTCACGTATCCTTAGTGCAGTTTTCCAAGGGACATTGTAAGTACCTATGCTGAAAGAAAGATGCCCTGTAGTTTGGGTGAGGTCACCATTCCCCATGGCTCCTGGAAGGATGCAGCAATGCAAATCCTAGACCTGGAAATGTGCTCAGTTGTGATGTCTGGCTGACCACAGTACAACGGGGGAAATGGCTTCTGACCTCGCCTGTTGAAGGGAGAGATGTGTAGAAACCCCTGGAGATTTCTGCGGCCTCCTACTGATACAGGGAACAGAGGACTCTGATGTTCACTGGAGGAGTGGGGCAGGACCCAGGGCCTCTTTGTGGTATCCTCACTTGACACAAGAGAGGCTATTACTGAAAAGAGCAGTGGCCCCATCACTCCCCAGATGTCCCACATGAGAAGACTGTGGTGTAGGGAGAGGACAGGTCTTAGAGACATGTCCAGTAGGTTGTCCAGAAGAGAAGTGGTGAGGTGAGCAGAGAACTGCTGTCAGCCCTAGAAAAGCTTTCCTTCTCCTGAGCTGATACAGCAACTGGCAAAATGAAGATCTAGCAGGACCTAGCTGCAGAAAAGAGACATGGAATGGAGATGTCACAGAAAGAATCTATTGGTAGACACAGAGAATATGGAAGCCTTCCGAAAGTAAACCTGGTTGTTGCACCTTTGCAGCTTAGGCAACCCATCACACCATAGGGAGCCACCAAAGACCAGTCTTGGATTGCTTCCATTTGCTGTGTGAGTGAAGTTCAAATGTCTCCATACTTCCAAGCTCCTACAGAGAGGCTGGGAAGATGAATGGCATGACCACTGTTGGATATGGGCTTCAGAAAGCCACAGGCAATTTCAGTGGATGCCTTAACTCACAACATCTGCAGCAAGGTTTGATACCGCTATGGGAACTAGACAGATTGGACCAAATCTGAAGACGTAAACAAACTGATACATTCATTTCTGATCCATTTGGTACTGCAAACGCAAAGAATGTTTGTTGGCTGCCTTTTTGCAAGTGGCTTAGCTTTCATCAGTGCCAGCTTTACACACTTTTTATACAAACTCCTCTGTCCTGAACAGACAGAACTTAATGATTTCAAGTTCCTTTCATCAGTCATAACACTGGAAAGAAAACTGATTCTCAAATCTATCTTGCATCAAGACGCTGGGTCTTCACAAAAAAAAAAAAAAACAAACAAAAAAACACACCAAAAAAACAACCCATGAAGATCTGCAGACTCACAAAATTACGTGAACTGCAAGAATGGGGTTTTGTTGCCACTTACTTCCTCTTTGGGATCTTAAATGGTTACAGTTACTGCTTTCAATGTTTCAATGCTTTCAATGTTTTCAATTTCTGCTATCACGTTCCTGAAAGCAGAATGCCTAAGACTGTAGGTACTGGCCCTAACAAACATCAACACCACGCTACCCTCTCTGAGAAAGTGATCCCAAATATCTTGCTTCTGTGGGGTTTTCAAAAATAGGGTCTTCCTGCCAGAGACGTGACGGAAATCAGCTGGCTAGGTCAGCCTGCTGACCTTTTTTTCATAATGCTAATCCTAATGTGTCCCACTAGAGCAAAGAGCTTGCCAGTTATGCCTGCAGGGAAGCACACTGATGAAGCAAACAGGGAAATAACAGAACTCCCATTCCTGCTGCACAGGCCAGTTATGCCTGCAGGGAAGCCTGCAGGGAAGCACACTGATGAAGCAAACAGGGAAATAACAGAACTCTTCATTCCTGCTGCACAGGACCATTGCATCTGTTTTAAAGCAAAAGAGTGTAGCGAGTCTCCAGGTCCTGCTCACACTGCCTGTGAAAAGCTGTTAGGAAGAAATGGAGAACTGGCAGGTGGGAACTCTTGGATCTATTTTGGTCTAATATCTTCTTACCTTTGGGACACTAACCACCTTTTTGGAGGCTTGGAGCAGGAAGGGAAGACCAAGTACACTACTTAAAAAATGTCTCAGGAGTTGAGATGTTTTAAAAATAAGAAACAGATGCAACAATCTACAGAGGATCAGAAAACAAGGTAACATGGGGAAAGAGTAGGAAATAGAGGAAAGGGAACAGGATCAAGAAGAGGACACTCAGGTTAAAGACTTCAGAGAAGTCTTCCGTATGGTCACATGTGTCTCCCGAAAGGAAATTTCTACTCTGAAACATCTCTGAAGAAGATAACAGAAAACACCTGAGGAGTGTATAGAGAGGAAAAGGGATGTGGGAGAGTGTACTCAACACAATAAATATCAGTCTTTGCTCCATATCTTGCTTAATATGCACAGCAGTTATAACAAATTAAGAGCTCAACTCCCCTTTCCCTCTGAGACATCACCAGCTTCTATATAGCCAAAAAGAAAAAAAAAAAAAACGAGCATTAACACTTACTGATCTACTCTCTGTCAAACCTAGTAGTCCTTACAAACCTATACATTTGTCATGCCACATGTAGTCTGTGCTCAGTTGGTTTGATCACTGCTTGGTCCTTCTCCATACCAAAATCTGTTTAGATAGTTTGTTGAGGACATTTCTTCTAACAAACATGTCTGACCTTTAACACTTGCCTGTGGGGCAGGACAGCACAAATAACAGGGAGTGTGATGTTAGCACCGGAGTGTTAACAGAACTGACCTATGTACTGGAAAGCTTTCAAGAAAAATTATAGTGGTGCCTCAAGCACACTGTTCCCTGGCTTTGTGGCATGTGGCATGCTGCTGGGGCTGCACTGACACAGAAAAATGCTTCCCTGGGAAGACAATCTAACGTGCTTAGTAAGATGTGTGTTTAGCTGAAATACCACAAATCCTCTTTTGTCATTTGAGGTTTTCACAATGTCATAATCACCTATCTCCTGTGCCCCTCCTAAAAATACTTTTTTTTTCTTTTGCCACTTCAAAAACTGCTCATGAATCCAGTCTGACATGAGCAAAGCAAGCACCATCTTTCCTATCTTGCATGAATGGGAAAAGAGGTAAGCAGAGGTGAACTGCCTTCAGGGTGCTACACAGGAGAAGGCTTGGACTGAAATGCCAGGGAAGCCTGCTTCCTGACCGCAAGCTGTGTGCCCACAAAGAGACAGAGCTCTGGTTCTCCTCAAGCATGGGACATACAGTATGGAGAAAAAAGCACAGGAAACTCTCTGGGGGTGTACTACTCATTTACCTCTCCAAAGCAGTGGTTCTCAGGTTTCTCATGATTCTACTGAAATGCTCTAATGATAATGAAAGTGATACTGCCCCATCCATGCGGAACTCTGCTCAGGGTCCAAATCACAGCTTCTGCTGTTCCATGGGCTGGGTAGGAATCAGTCCTAAAGAGCCTGCTCATCCTGTACGTTTTGTTCACTTCTCATATGATCCCATTCCTACTGTATTTTTAAAACCTTCTTTCAAAAGGATACCGTTTAAACTGTAACTCTCCCACCTCAAAGACTAAAAAATAAATAGCAGTCCTTCCTCATTCCCCTTTCACAGATGTAATTTCTGCCCACACCATCCCCCTACTTTCCAAACCTGAATACTCTGAGGTGCACTGCAAGGGCTGGGAGACAAAGACATTTATCTAAACCTCAGCAAAGAGATATTCTGAGCTGTCGTTCGTGAGAAATTGCTTTGCAAGGTGGAGCTAATACAGATCGAGGAGCCAGTCACAAGCTAGTGGAAATAAAAGTTTTCTTTACCTCCATGTCCCGCAAGAGAGGTGTCCTTGGGGAAATCTTTCTTCCCCACCCCTTTCCCTCTTATCTGTGGGAAAACTTCAGCCAAGCCAGAAAAATTGTGCCGCGGTGGAAGGCATGTAATATCCAAGCTGCTGCTCAGCTTGAGAACTGACAAAGCCCAGCAAGTGACCCTGCACTACCAACAAGGAGGAAGGGCGGGTTGGTGAGAGGAAGGGAGGGAGGGGAGAGGAGGGGGAGGCAAGGCAATCAGAGTTTAAATTTAGACACAAATCTAAACAGATACTGTCCTTCCCAGAGCTCTGGGCTCATGAGGCAACAAGCAGCAAACTCTGCTGCTGCTCCCAAACTTTGGGACACCACATGTGCACTTTCTCCCTTCCTTTCTCCCCTTTATATTTTCTGTCACCTCATCTTTACTTCCCCCCCCCACGCCGTTTTGCCTCTATTTCTCTCCATTGCTTGCAGTTACTGCCCCGATGTTTCTGCCTGGATCTCTCCCTTGACCATGCTTCTCTCTCCAAGTCTACAGGGTCTCTTCCTTTTTGTTTATTTGTAAGGAGACTCTTTTCCCCTCTCACTGCAGCTTCCCTTCTCCCTTCCTTCACACTTTTAGGTAATTTCAATCAGCAGTGGACTGTCTTTAGAGTGATCAGAGAGACAGAAGAGGAGCAGTGCAAGGGTGATTGTTGTATTTGACCAGAAGGCTTTGGTATCTTAGTTCACAGCTGGGACTCCCAGGGATGACACTACTGTGCTGCTGGGTGTTCTCCTAAACGAGAGATAAGGGCTCCACTGTGAAGAGAGCTGCAATAATGTGGGCACAAGCAGAAGGGGGGTTGCCATGCAAGGTGTCACTGCTAGTTGTAAAGCAGGACTAGCTCCTTCCACCCTGAATTCATGCCTCACACTACCAGGTCAGAAAGTGCAGAATGCTCTTCTCTCCCTTCACAGGAAAGGATTGACTTGTGCACTGGAAGTGAGAAGCTTCAGTGGTGACAGGAAAAAAAGCCTTAGGAATGTTTTGCTATAGTTTCCACTTCCATTCAGATCAGTGTTGTAAACTGGACATCTCTTTTAACAACTGTTTGCATATGCTCCTCCTCAAGAATTTCAGTCCCCACCTCTTGAGAGCAGGGTGGAGCAGGGTGGTGCAAAGAATTTGGAAACACTTCCTTTGTCTTCTGCTGGCTTCCTTGCCTTGCATGCAGCTGCGAAGTGACACAATGTCATGCCATCATTCTGAGATGATACCTCAGGGGCAAAAGAGGGTTAAAGCATCTTTTCTGAAAAGGGATGCATACTTTTCCTCTGCACTGTTTTGCAAGTCCCTGCTGGCTATGGTGGAAGACACTGCAGAATGGATTTAAATGTGACAATCATGATATCCCAGATTATTGTTACCAATAAATCATCTTGACATAGTTCTTACAGTATAGTTAACTGTTGCTGTACTGCATGCTGTCTGTAGGACTGTTACGGAACTAGCAGATTTTAATCATGATCTAATTAACTCCCAAATTCAATATACAATGGTTACTTGGTCCTTAGCCAAAGAATGATATGCTGAGTTGCTGCAATCTGGAGATTGGGCAAGAGGACTAAATAATCTTCTGTTGCTGTAACACTGGATTAGTTGAAACCCCTCTGATGTAAGCAACCAGAAGATGCTGCAACTATAGATGTAAGCAAATATATTAAAAATCTAAAAAAAGTGTAAGAATAAAATTCCTTCTTGATTGGAAATCCTATTGATTTCTTGAAGTCCTGACAATGGTACATCAGGAGAGGGGATAGGAATTGAACTGAAAAGCAGCATGAGGTGGGGAGGGCAGGATACTTTGGCTGCGCATGTTTTCTCTGCTGTTGGGTCAGAAGGAGGATTTTATGTTCAGGGATTTCACTGTGGGCATTAGTCACAAGTGTTGTTTTCAAGCTGTCTACCATTTAACAGACTGTCAATATCACATAGTGCAGTGGTTGCTTCATGCCATTCAGGGTCTATTTCAGTAATTTGTTTTGGCTTTCAGGGGTTGTACTCTGTGGAGGAAACTCTTTACTCAGGTCTACAGAAAAGGATGCTGCTAGGCAGAGATGGTATCACTTTACCAGCACTAATAAAGCAAAGGTAGTTGCAGCTGCCCCACCACAATTCTTCACTATTTATTTCTCCTCCCAAGTATCTTGCCACAAGGCAAATCTTTTCTGCCAGCAGGACTCCCAGATGCCATTGCTCAGCGCAAGGTACACAGTACTCTATTAATACTAAATCTTTCTTCCTGAAGGAACAGGGAGAGAACACAGGGAAATACAGCACATGATTTTCTCCAGACAGGAAGACACAAGGTGTGGATTTGCCCTAGACTTGTTTCTGGACTGAAAACCACCAGAATATCTGAAACAATCAACCTACATGTTTTAACTACAAGAACCTCGTAACAAATGTTATTAAGGAAGGTTATACTGAGGAACCGGGTATGCACGTGCAAGTATGAATGTGAGATATTTTAGAGTATGACTCTCTGCATTTCTCTGTGTGTGTCTGTTTACAGACGTTCTTGGATATAGCAGTGTATATAAGACTAATTTGTTTATATGCAAAAAAAGTTTCTACATCTGTCCTCCTCAAGAGGAAAAAAATGCAGTCATCATAAGTGCCATTAAAACAGGCTCTAGGGAGAAACTTTGAGTGAAAAAACATTGCAAACATGGACCCCTGGATTTTGCAGCTTCCCAGGTAGTTATTTTCAAGACATGTGAGGCCAAACCCAGCAAATTTGCTTCAGGCCAGATTATTTGTACTTTTGCTACAAGCAGCACATAGGGGAGAGCTGCAAGGAAATCCTTCATTCTGCATGCCTGCAAAAGAGGTAGCATGACTAGTTCTGCCATGCTTAGAAACACCATGTGTAATATTTGGTGACCTCTTGAATTTTGGCTATGAAGTATGGACAATGGGGCCTCCACAGGATGCTAATCCACAGAAAGAAAATGCAGGGACATGACAGTTCTTTAGAGACCACTTAGGAAAGAAAGTTTTGGAGGGCATCTGAAACTCTGATATTTGTGTCCGTGCAGCTATCTCATTCAGGTGTGTCTGTGTGGGAGTCCAATGTGGGAAGGTATGTTTGTCAGGGCCAGGGATGAGCAAAGGGTGGAGGGAACTGTGGGTCCCCACAAGACAGACTTAAATACTTTGTTAAGGCATGAACTGAGGGTTTAGTAGAGCTCACCTGTCAGTGCCAGTATCTGGGATTGTTCTGTCCACCTCTCTGTCTGGCTTTGCCTACTGCTATTCACGTAATTTCTCAGAATTCATACTATTAACCAACAGATGTTCCCACACTGGGCTTTTGACCCCCTTAAAATGAGGTCTCAACCCTTCCTGTTCCCACTCAAGCAACTCAATTCTCAACTGAAACAAACATACAGTAACCACAGAAAAAAAACAAAAACATTTTCATTTCAAAGATCAATCAACTCTAAAAGCCAACATCCTGTTTTGGGTTGGGTTTGAACATCAGCTTCTCTGACAATAGCAAGCTGACAGGAAATGAACATGAGCAGCGTTTTCTAGGGGAAACTCACTGAACTCACCATTCTGCTAACTGTGTCCTTAAGTATCTGCTCCCATCGACCCTGCCCTCAGCATTAAACTCACACTGTGGACACTAAGCCTCACCCTCCCTCTTCAGGGAGTTATCAGCAGGAAATGAAGTCAGTTGGAATGCTTTGTGCCATCAACATTTCTTGCTCTAATTCTGCAGCTGCAGCAATGAATGTCTGGGAGCACACACATGCTCACGTGCCAGGCACCATGCACCCCAGGGAATGATGTGAGTGGGAAAGCCCCATTAGCAAAGAGGCTTGAGTTAAGTGAAAGGACATGGTTGCAAGTGATTCTTGCTAAGCTGTGTTGGACAGGGAGGGTGAGACTGTGTGTGTTGTGTGGTAGCCACATAAAAAACTAGGTGATACAGACTAATTGAAAGATCCAATCATTTCACATGTTCCTGACAGTTGGCCTGTGCTTGTCTGCTAATATCATGGTTCAGACTAACCAGGCTTCTTAACTCTCAGGCTCTGAGCAAAAGCTTGTCCCTAAGCAGAGTAAAGTTAGAAAAATGCAGCACTGTACAAGGAGCATTTCACCTGCAATGCTTTGCTTGTAATAAGGAGATCGCGCTGAAGTGGACCACCCTAACTCATATCAGGCCACCTAGGGGCTGGTGGGTGGTGTACAGGTAGATAGTGCCATCTCTTGCAGCACCTGAATTTCTTTGGAGAGCTCTTCTTTCATTGCTGATCACCTGACTTCAGAGAACATACTCAGCTGGGGTATTAAGAGGCAATGGCTGCATCCCATTATATTAATATAGTGATGGGACAAATATTATCAGCATCAGCCACTGACAGCTTGCTTTTAGACTGAATGATTTCTCTACCAGTTACTAGTTTTAAAACTCAACAAGGGTTAATATAAACAAAGAAAAAGTTACAGCCAGAACATGGGTGCTGACACAATTCCAGGTATCTTGCTGGATACAAGCATGGGTTTGATTATGTTGTTCTCAAGCCAGTCCTGCTGCCAATCATTCAACATCCTAGTATCATAGCTGGCCCTCACAACATCTTCCTCAGCATGCAGCCCAAGCTCCGACTGAACAGCAAGAATTTTAGACTGAACATGGAATAACTCTTCCGGTCCCTAACAGGTTATGCACAGAGGATGCTTGCCTTGCCACTGCCTGTGTGGTGGCTGTTAAAAACATAAAAGGACTTTCAGCTGAATATCAGGACAGTGCTATATTAATTTTACCTATCTTCAAAAAATACACTGATGAAAGGGTCAGAAGCTAATTCCCAACCAAGTTAATTGGGGAACTTTGAGGGTAAGAACAAATATATGCATTACACACAGGCACACAACACCTTTCTGTCTTCAACAAAGATCTCTGTCGTGTGCAATTTCCTGATAGCAGTAGCACTGCATTGTTCCACAGGGCTGCTTATCTCCTCAGGAGGATATCTAGCCAACATTTTTAGAAACAATTTGCATGGTGGGTTTCATATGGCACAGAGTGTTGGCACTTCAAAGCACCGAGTACTTCAGCTTTTGCCAGAGCTGACTCACAGGTCAGTTGCTTATGTCAAATGCAGTGGCAAGTGACTTTAAGCACTCCGGCTGTCATTGGGGTGCAGAGAGCTGGCCTGGCTCAGAGATCAAGCACTACACCCAGTGAGACCGCGCAGCCTGCAAGTGTTATCTGGACAAAGAAAGGTTTCTGTTCAGAGTGCATGATCTAGACAGGGAGCCTGGCCCAGCACAGAGCTAGACGGTGTCTGAAGAGAAACCTTGCCCAGCCCATCCAACAACCATGCTATCTAAACAGAGAGCTGGTTCAAGGCAAAACCAGCTATGAGGAGGGCAGACAGAGCATAATAATACAGTAGACAGGATGGTGACCTTGCTTGCTTTCTGGCTGAAATACACTTTCTCCAGCAACACAGACCCCAGATTCAGCCCAAGGCCCATCACATACAAACCACACTGAAATTAAGATGGTTCCATGAACTGGCCAGCTGCTGGATAAAGCCGGATAAACTGGCTGGATAAAGCTGGATAAACTGGCTGGATAAACTGGCTGGATAAAGCTGGATAAACTGGCTGGATAAAACTGGATAAACTGGCTTTATCTACAGTGAGATATTACTGTCTATTTACTAAGGGTTTTTACAGACATAAGCACGAGTTGAAAAAGAGAACTAGTGGCTAGCAATACTTTCTTGACCTTGTTATGCAAGGACACTGGAAGCCCCTAAACATATTGCATCACAACAGAGAGAATCCTTGTCCTTTCTCTGAGATCTAGCTGAGGAAGTGAGAGCCTGGAGATTTCAGAGCAAGCTGAAAGAGTTAAAGACCTTATCCCTCACCAGCTCAGGATCACTCCATGATACCCACCCAAGAAAGGGGTGACCAAAACAAGCCCTCTTCGTTCTGTGTGGTGTGCAAGACGGTCTATATGCTGCCGTCCACTGCCCACTGCAGAGGCCACTGAGCCTAATAAGTCCTGTTCTCCATAATGGAGAGCCAGTGATATTTGTTCCATAAATCCTGTTGAGAGCTGAATCCCCACCAGGCTCATCATCCCAGATCCAGCAGGTCACTGAGGTTCGCAGCAGCACCCCTTGGAGGCTGCAGACAGGGATGGATGTACACGTACCACAAGGCTGGAAAGGCAAGAGAGGAAAAGTGGGCAGACTTTGTTTGGACAGGTTGCTTTCCCTTGGGCCCTGAGATTCCACTATATGGTCCCAGCAGTGGTGGGGGATGATCTTCCACACTAAGAGGCTCAATTTTGTCTCTCCTGCCACAGGGGCTGTACAGCTCCAGAAAGGCGCACCCTTCCTGGAGGCCAGCCATGAGCACAAATACATACATCTAAACTCCGTAACATAAAAGCTCTGAAGAAGAGAAAACAAAAAATTGCCAGCTCTGCTTCCCATATCTCCTTTATCTTCTTTCCTGTCTGTCCTTTTTTTATTCCCTGAGGCACATGTTACTTCCATATACTCTCCATGGTAACCCCTCTTTCCTGTGCTGACCCAACCAAACACCTCCAGTCTGCTCCCTGTCACACTCTGCTCCCAAGTAAAATCATTCACAAACTCACCCCCCACATACACTTGTCCCTTTCATTACATTAGGTAAACACACTCTCCACCTCAGGCTCTCAGAGGGCAGGACTGCTTGGAAGTGGACAGAAACAAGCAGTTTCTGTGCATGCACACACAAGTTGGTGGGGAGAGAAAAGAGGAAGCTGTGTCTCTGTTTTAGCTAGAAAAATCTGTAACAAAAAGGGTTTGTTGCATTGTCTTCTTCACCCCCTTCTCTTCCCCAAGCCATTTCCTCAAGACCATTTTAATCCCTTTCTTCCATAATCTTTGCAGTCCTTTAGAATGGCTCCTGTTTTTGTCCCTTCAGTATGTTCCAAGTTGTAAAATACTACATACCTGAAGGCAACCTTTTGTGCAGTCTATTCTCCTGTAATTCCTTTTCTTCCTGTTTTTCTCCTTAGCAGTCTGCCCTGAAATATCACTTGCCCTGTACCACAAATAAGGCTGCCTGTATTGCCTTAGTTTCCAGAGCAGTTGCTACTCACAAGTTTAGTGGTTGCACACCAGGGGTTCATCAGCCTCTGCTTTTCAGTTTTAAGAAAACACATTTTTTTTCCTGACCATAACCAGGAGAATGCAGCAGTGGAAGGCTCTGTGTGTCCCAGAGGGAAAGCAGGGGTCTCTGGCCATGCTCTGCAGGCCAAGGGAATACTGGAGGACTAACTATTTTGTTCTGCCTGTACACAACAGGACAGTACATAAATGGCACGGAATGGACCTGTGCTGTGTTTTACTTCCTGAATTCAGCCCAACAGAACGATCCCTCTGGTGGGCTGTAAACTGTGGGTGCTGTGTGGCACCTGGGGGCAGATGGCAGTTACATGGTAAATTAATTTGGGTTTCTCTGGGCTATGCTGGTATTACATATGTAGTGTAGACATACTTGGTGAGATCAAAGTGGAAAAATGGAAATCCACACCATCTTTTAGGAAAAGTTGAATCAAGTCTCAGTATTACCCCAGTTAATCCTAATATTCATCAGGTGACTGAGTAAAAAGTGGTAAATAAAATATTTACTGTATTTATTCGTCTAAGCAATGCATTGAAGGCCAGGAGGTTGTTCAACTAGCAGCGCCAAGTCTTGTAGAAGAGATAGCTTTGACACGCATCCTGCAATTTGGAAGTGGCAACTCTTGAGCTGTGTCCACTGGGAAACAATCCCATGAGCTTTTATGTCTCACACCAGTTTCATCCAGACCCTGCTTGCTGTGGTTAAAGGACAAGGAAGGCTGAGCCACAGGCACTTGTGGTGACACAGAACCAGCCTCTGAGATTGACTTTGTACCAAGGGGCGGTGGGGCCGATGGCTCCACAACCCCGCTTCGGATCTGACGCGCACACAGCCTCTGCAAGACAAACAGGGGGGGGGCATGTCAGGGAACAGCTGCTGCTGGGCACTGCATGCCGCCATAGCCCACGGCAGGTGGGTCACGCACACTTTGCCAGACAGGCCGACCGCGAGCAAGTGAGTGCCGGAAGGCAGGCAACGCCAGTCCCCAGGACAAAACTACAACTGCCCCTTACTCCACCTCGGGCCACTGCAACACCCCACCCAGCCCACCGGCCATCCGCATCGGCTACAGGCGCCGCGGAATATGATTGGCAGAGAGTTGCGAAGAGGTCTTTCATTGGCTGCTGGGATACCACTGGCTCCGCCCTTTCTCCTCCCCCTGGAGAGGCAGGGCTGACCGGGATGTTTACAACCGATAGCGGCTGCGGGGATTGTCCCGCCCCCTCGCAACTCTCATTGGCTGAGAAGGGCGAAGCCTTGGCTGACAGCCGACAGGCTAATTTCCCACTCACAAGGTTGTCCCCTGCGCTCCCTCACCCAATGGGTGAAGGTGGGCGGGGAAAGGTTGTTCCGATTGGCGGAGCGCCGTGGGGCCCGTCCCCCCACTCGCGGGTCAGAGCCCGATGGGGGGTGGCTGGCGGCGTGCCGTGTTCGGTCGTGGTCTGTGCGGCATGTTTAGGTTTCAGCTCGGCAGCTCTGTAGCGGTGCTGCTGCTGTTGTTGCTGACGGCCGACGGGGCCATCCCGCCGCCAGAGGATGCGGCACGCATGGCGCGCTTCGTGCTGCACACCTGCGACTGGGGCGCACTGGCCACGCTCTCTGCGCAGGAGGGGTTGCGTGGCTACCCCTTCGCCAACATCTTCTCCCTCAGCGACGGCCCCCCCGGGCCGCTCAGCGGCAGCGGCATCCCCTACTTCTACCTGACCGACATGGAGATCTCCGTGCAGGACCTGGAGGTGAGCAGGAGCGGCCGGGCCGGCAGGGAAGGACAGAGTGTCCCTGCAAAATCACGTCTGATGTAGTGTATGCAAGCCCTAGATAGAAATAGTGACTCCAGTAAAGGAGACCTAAAGCTTGCAAGTGTGCAGGCTGCAAACGCAGTGAACCAAATGGTGGCTGGAATTTCTTCTGTAGGGGTCAGGGTTTACACCAGCCTTTTCTGAAGGCAATGTGATGGTGCTGCTAGCTGCCCTTTCCATGAATGTAACCTCATTTTTGAGCCCTGGGAACAATTATTGGCCTTACAGCATCTGAACATAGGCAGTGCTGCCTGTGTTAATGCTTAGTAGTCCTAGAATCATCATAGAATCATAAAATAGTTCGGGTTGGAAGGGACCTTAAAGCTCATCCAGTTCCATCTCCCTGCCACAGGCAGGGACACCTTCCACTAGAGCAGGTTGCTCCAAGCCTCGTCCAATCTGGCCTTGAACACTGTCAGGGATGGGGCAGCCGTAGCTTCTCTGGGTAACCTGTGCCAGTGGCTCACCACCCTTGTAGTAAAGAACTTCATCATAATGTCTAAGAAAAATGGCCCTTCTGTCAGTTTAAAGCTATTCCCCCTTGTCCTGTCACTCTATGCCTTTGTTAAAAATCCCTCTCCAGATTTCTTATAGGCCTAAGTACTGGAAGGCTGCTATAAAGCCTCCCCAGACCCTTCTGTTGGCCAGGCTGAACAGTCCTCCTAAGAAGTTCCTGCTGATCATGGTCTGAGAAATTGTTGAGCACCACCCTGGTAGAGGAAGAGACTGAAGCTTACAGGATCACTGAGCAGCGGAATGAGGGGCCATAGAATATTTAAATGGAGAATGTCACAAAAAATATCAAAACACCTGTAAATAGGCAGTGTGGGACTTGAGCGAAGAGAGCTTTTATACAGGCTATTGAAAGAGTAGTAATTAGATCTCTGGAGCAGATTGAAAGGCAAGCACATGATGGGAGGTGTGCTGAGGCTCTGAGTGTAATTGGCCCTATCTCAGATGTGTCACTTGGATGAAGTCAAGAGAGTTGGCTACAGAGGTAGGGAAATAGTGTTTGTGTGTGTCCTTAAATGGGTTTTTTTTTTATTGTTGTTCCAGCAACTATTACGGTGTTAGTGAAATAAACACAAAAATAATGGAAATTTTCAGACTTTATTTTACTGTAAACTTTTTTGTCTGTTCACTGTCAGGTTTTAGTTTGTTACGTTGAAATAGTTTATGTATCAAAGTGCTGTAGAAAGCCTAACTTATCTTGTGTAGTATCTTCTCTATCCCAGAATAACGTAAAAATCATGGTATAAACTGCTAACGAACATTTTCCTATGGAAGGCTCTTCAATAGATCCTTGTTCTGCTGTTAGAGGGCAGAAGCATTTGACTGTGACAGTCACGTGTGACGGGGATGGTGCTGAATAATCATGAGTCAGCTTTTTTTGTACTTAAGCAGCTTCCTATCTGTCAGGTGGTTGCTCCCTTTCCATCAGGTCAGCAGGGCTCTGCATAGTGTTCACATGACTTTTTGGATGGATTTGGTTTTTTTTGTTTGTTGGGTTTTGTTTGGTTTTTTTTTTTTCTTTTTTGAGATGAGGTTTTTTAAGGAAACTCAAAGCACATGAACTTTCTTTTCTGGGATATTTGTATTTGCCATTCTGAGGTAGGCAGTCCTGTTTTGCACCACTACTTGTCAAGCTGTGTTCACCGAATTAGTTTTTGTAAATCAGTCAGATACAGGTTATTTAATTCTTCAAATTAGGTATCTTAAATACCCAGGATTTTTTAAACCTGCCTTTAAAAATTCACTTTAAACTTCAAAAGACCTGACCAGGCAGCAGAGAGGCTTGTTTTGATGTTGGGGGGGGGGGGGGGAGGGTGTTTGTATGTTTGGTTTTAACTAATTTTATCAACAGTTCTGAAACTCAGTTGCCTTTTTAGTAACCCTTTATCCTTTTACTAATGAAGTTCACTGTATGTACTTGTCTTCTGTACTGTGTCTATGTAAATTGGAATATATCATAGAATCAGAGGCTGGTTTGGGTTGGAAGGGACCTTAAAGCTCGTATAGTTCCAACTCCCTGCCATGGGCAGAGACAGCTTCCACTAGACCAAGTTGCTCCAAGCCCCATGCAACCTGGCTTTGAACAGTGCCAGGGATGGGCAGCCAAAGCTTTTCTAGGCAATGTTTCATTTGAATGTGAAATATCTAGACTGCATGTTGAATTCACAGTTTTAGGGAGTGCTGTTTTGTGAGGTTTGTATTTTATACTAACAAACTTGAGCGCTGGGCTTTCTTTCACATTCAAAGTTCATCTAAGTAAGGCCTTCATATGTAATTAGGAAAAGCTGACAACAGCTTTGTTCTTTTTACCAGTAATATTGAACTTAATAAAGTACAAAATGCTGAAAGTATGAGTATGGCATTTTTCTTGCAAAAGCATGTAAACCTTATTTTACTGCTTGCATTTCAGATCAATTCCAGTGCCTCCTTGACTGTATCTTTGGCGCAGACTCCTTACTGCAAGAAGCACAAATATGATCCCCAGAATCCCCTCTGTGCCCACATCATCTTCAGTGGGAATGTTGTAAAGGTAAGTAGCTGAAAGTTGACACTGGATAACATTATGTGCATGAAATAGGTATTGTTTAGTGGATGGAGAAGGGAAAGGTTAGAATTTCTGTGTGAAAGTATATGAAGAGATGTTACGTGCCACGATACGAGAAGGCTAATCATGGTGTGAGAAAAATGAAGTTACCATTTGATATTTGCAGGAGCTCTGTTGTTTTCACACCTCGGATATTTGTGCATTACACTCCAGCAATCCTTTAATTGCTTTCACAAGTTCCTCATCAATAACAGTGTGGTTTATTTCAATTAGTTCCTGTTGTAGCATTCCCAGACCTCTAAGTTGTTGATTTAACCCTTTAAACATTTGTGCATTGTATATTAAGTGCCACCACACAATTCAGCTTCCCTTCTCTGTAGATTCTGTTCTATCATCCTATTTGTGTATTTGTGTATGCATGTGTTTGCACGTCTGAACATGATTGGGTCTGTGTGTGTCTGTTTGAACAGGTGCATAGGAGGTAAAATCACACCTAAAAAACATTGCATTGTAATAATTCAGCAAGTATCCATACTTCTCTGTTTTGTGATCTGTTGAAAGATTTATTCTTATGTTGATGAAGAACTGCTTTACTCATGCTTACTTTAAAAGCACCCTTTTGATTTAATATTAAAATCAACTGCCTTGGAGTTTTTGTCTGTGTCATACAGTGATATGCCCCACTGAATATGGAGGGACTCTGCCACAGTAGTGAGTCCTTTGGGACAAGACATGGCTGAACTGAAAAAAGCATACTGCAGTCAGCAGTGGTTTTTTAGCTAAAATTTGTCTTCACATGACTGTATCTTACTATAATATTTTGATGGTTATTATCTTTTAGGTGAATGATTCAGAAGCAGGCTTAGCAAAAAAAGCATTATTCAGTCGCCACCCTGAGATGGAAAGTTGGCCTAAGGATCACAATTGGTTCTTTGCCAAATTCAATATCACCTATATTTGGGTCCTGGACTACTTTGGTGGATTGAAAATTGTGACGCCAGAAGAATATTACAATATCAAGCCTTAGTAAGTACTGAGGTTTTGCATACTAACTCTCATTATATTTAGAACCTATAGAAATTCTGCATATCAAATTTCTATTCTCTCTTTTTTTTATACACATTTATGTGTTTTCGCTAACTAGTCTACTGGATGCAGTGCCTGAAATATGTTTGAACAGGAGATCCACTTACTTAACAATATCAAGTATAGTATCTAAAGAACTATCTATGGCTAACTGCACTTGTACCTTGGCTTAAAAAACAGTTTCTTGGGAGGAAGGACTCTTATAGAATGGGCACAGTTGTCTCCTTTTTGAGTTAATTGAAAGATGATGTTTTGGTAAAAGTAGTGAGACTATTCAGCACTTACGAAGCTATATTAATGGGATTGCAGCAATATTGCTTTATGTTTTTTAAAAAATGCTTTTGAATCTATCATTACGATGTTCAGGTATAGAGAAATGGTGTTCTATTGTCTACATAAAAATAAGTCATTAAAAATTTCAAATACATTTTAGCACAGTAAACACACAATTCAGTTTCACTCTTACTCCTTGTAGGTGGAAGAAGATCCTTGCTGATGCTGATACACAGATGAATTACCTGAGTTGTTTCATGAAAGATTTATTTTTTAATATGTGTTGTACAGCTGAATTAATAATAAAAAAAATCACTCTGCTCTGTTAATGAGCTTGTATAGTCCTTCTGAAGTAATGTGAATTCTCACTAACTAGCACAGCTTGAATCATGTCATACTCAGAAACCTTTGTGCATAAGTCATAACTAAATCTTATTCACTAGACATGCTTCTGGAAAGATATCTGTCTGACAGTCTGCATTCAGAAACTCTGTTTACTGGAAAATACAGGATTAGTCTAGTTCTAAATCTCTCAATGCCTTAGTTAAAGAATAGTGGTTTGTGAGCATTTCCAATTTTTTTTTGTTTTTAATACCAGTTTAGTTTAGATCTTTATGGCAAAGTACTACAGTATGGCTCAGCTGACTGTGGAATGGAAAGCATTGCTTGTATTACAATGGCAAAGATATGCTGAGTTTCCAATTTCTGTTAATAAATTTCTTTGCACACTAATACATTCACTTGTTTGAGCCATTGTTCTATTTTGTTACATATATTGAATGTGCTATAGAATATGACTTGTGTTTATATAAACTCTATGTATACCTCAGGATTAAGTTCTTGGTAACTCTTAGCAGGCAGTGGTTATGTGCCCTGACTCTTTAATGGAAGCAGGGTGTGGCAATACCTAAAGTATCTGTCTTTAGTATAAAAAGTGCAATGGCTTGTAAGTTTAATAAGAATGTTGTAAAGGGTAAATGTTTTCTGATTATAATTCTGAAATCTTAAGCTTTGGTAGTCTGATCAAATAGCAACTTATCAGCTTTTATTACCCTCAGCAGTAGAAATGAGCAGATTATTGGCTTTGAAGCCTTGCACAGCAATTTTTGGTTAGTAACCCAAAAGTGTGAACTAAGCAATACAGTATGATAGAGATGATTCATGACTTGTAGAGAATGAAAATGAAAGGTGTGCATAATTAATTCTGTGTTAAAATAAGCCACACACAACCACAAAAAGAAATAAATTAACATCTTTTTACCTCCTCTCTCATCTACCATGTGCTAGGTTCACAAATACCCAAAAGTGATTATGAAAACTAAGTTGATTTTACAATGAGCAAATATTACCTAGTTGTCAGAGTAAAGAATGTGAGAACTTAGGCTCCTTAGAGGCAGATCAATATATAGAACAGTGGAATTCATTATATCAAATCAGGTTAATGTTGTTATTGTATTGCTACTTGCTGGAATTATTTGTGAAAGTATTTTTGGTATAATGTATTACATTTTCCTTCTCTGCAAGGAGAAAAAAGATACTTGTTACTGTGTCAAACCCATTCTGTCCTGTTGTTTGAAACTTACAATATGGAAATAATTTGTGTTAAATACATAACTGTCATTAAATGCGAAATTGGAAAATAGTTTTATATAAAGCATAGCAATTGTGGAAACTCAAATGATCCGGTGGTATCGGATCTTACCATAGGGCCATTTGAATGCGTTACATGTCACTCTGTAACTTCTGATGTGTGAGATTGATGATGCTGTGCTTTTATTAAAATTAAAGGGTTTTTTTTTGACAAGTGGTGGTGTGTGTTATTTATTACATGTTCAAGAATATTTCCCTCTCTCATGCTCTTTCACCTGAGTACACTTTCTTCAGAGTTCTTGTTTTACTGTTGCTCTGGAGTCTTTCATGCTTACTTGAAAAAAAAATGGTAAAACCATTTAAAAACTATAAAACCTGTTTATATGGTAAAACCATATAAAAACTAATGCATGTGGCTTTCCCTCTGTGAATGGTATAAGCACTTTCATGCTTCACTTCCTTTTCTGCATCTAATATTGTGAAATGGAACATAAAATAACAACAGTGGAGTTTGTGGAAATGAATACAAGAACGCCTTATTTGATTATTTCTTTCTGCTAGGGCTTCTATGTTTTTAGATGACTGTATCATTGGCAGACAAGAGTTCATCCACACCCAGGAAAGCAGGGCTCCATCACGTGTTAACAGTTACTTAGGAAGGCAAACACCATCACTTGGAATACAGCCCCCCTTTTTTCTTCTCCTCCCAGCTTTATATGCTGAGCATGATGCCACATGGTGTGGAATATCCCTTTGGTCTGTTGGGGTCTGCTTTCCAAGCTAAGTCCTCTCTTAAATCCTTGTATACACCCAGCCTATTCCCTAGGAGGTTGGGGGAAGAAGCAGAGAAGGTCTTGACATTGTGTAAACAATAGCTGAAACGTGGGTGGGTTGTCAGCACTTTCATCACAAGTTCAAAATGTAGCTCCAAACAAGCTGCTATGGAAAGAAAATTATGTCATGCAAAAGCGGTACAACACCTTTAGAAGAATCGCTTTAGTTTGAGTGTTTGTTACAGAATAAAACTTGGTTTATTTCTGGTTGTCTTATCAGATGTGATGTTTTCATTAGTACCAATTCCCAAGTCTTGTCTGATTCAGAGTGGAAGGGCATTTTTTGGTAACAATTATTCTTAAACAGTTTTGTAATGTGCTACATTTTATTGGAACAGTTTCAGATCATCCAAATCTCTTCATGTCTTAAGTTTGATAGGATCCCAGGCAGATATTTCTTTTGGAAAGTGGTGAACAACAAAATGATTAAGCTGCACATACAGAGCTGGATTTGAGGGTTCATCAAGGAAGAACTCTTTGGGGTTGTTGAATTTCTGCATCTCACTGAACACTTGGATAAAGAGATTTTTGTATGTAGAAGTGGAATGTAGAGCATGACTAGGGTATCAATTAGACAGAGCATTGGCCATCTCTCTGTTCACCTCCCTTAGTAACAGGCATGTAGATGTCAGTATCGCAGACTCAAGTTATCAGCTTTGGTCCCGTTTTTCCTCGTCTTCTTCTCCCTGTGCTCACTTTTGTTGTATTAGACTTATTCAGGAATTTGCTTCTAAACATGTTTCTTTTTTTCTTAATATCCAGAAATAATAGTATAGGTTAGAATAGGGAAGGCCAAGTGTAAGAAATTAACATAGCTGTAAATAATGAATCAGTATTTTGGCTATGTGTATCCTCTATCATGATATGCTTGACATTATCTGAACTCTAAATAGTAAGGAAGTCAGCCTCCATCCCTAGGAGGTTATGAACCTGAGATATGGATTAAACTGAGGCACCTCACTAAGTCACAGGATGTTTGTTAGCTAGGAGTCTAATTAGGATAATCTCAGCCTGTCTCTCTAATTATATATTCCTGTTTTTTGTTTGTTTACTTGTCTTGCTCATTGACATGTTTGTGTTTCTATGCCTTGATTTTCTGTTTCTTTATTGTGTTATAGTGTAAGACTTGTGCCCAGTAGATTCTTGTGACATGCTACATCATTGCAGAATAATGTTTAGGTACATCAGCTATTAGTTGAAGCATTTTTTCAGTTACATCTGGAATTAATTTCTTAGCTATTTAACTTTGTGATCTTCACAATAAAATCAGAAGAGGTATCTTAACCAGAGTATTAGATTAATACAAAAAGTATTAATCATAACTTAATGGATTAATTTGTCACAGGCTTTTCCTGAATACCATCACGATCAAGAATTTCAAAATCAAATTAACTGCTATATTATTGTTGAACACCAGAGGGTGCCGTAGACATATATTCGGGTTGATTGTTAAATGTTTAATACTGAAAATTGGTTATTGAATTCATCATAACTCAAAGGTGCTGGAAAAGTGTATGACTAAGGCATGATATGAACAAATTCTTTTTCTACAGTGCTTTACATTATGAATGCTTTCCTCCATAAACACATCATCCTGCTAGATGCTAAAAAAAGAAGCATTCATCTTTTTTTTTTTTTGGGGGGGGGGGGGGGTGTAACCATTTTGTGCTACCGAGTGCTCAGAAGTAATATCCATAAAAATGATTTAAAGGTTTTTAAATTAAGAAACTCTAGTAAAGGAAATGGAGACAGGTATAGATTGCCTTGGAACATCAGCTGGGAGAAGCCACCTCCAAACTTGATTGATAGTGTACATTTCTCTCACTACGTACTGTAAGAATCTGAAGTGAGTGTGTTAGCATGATGATGCTTAGGCTTATTATTAGCTGAACCAAACCACATGATTCTGATTTGTGATTTCCAACAGCTAATTAATCTTGTTGGACTTCTTGTTGCCCTGTAGCCCTTCTCCCATCTTTTGGGTGGCCACTCCTGACTATGTGCAGGTATCTGGGTGATGAGGTAGAGCTGGGAAAAGCCTGGAAAAGCTCTTTCTGTTTGCACGGGAGCTGTGATAGAGCTCAGGCTCTTGCTGCTTGCCTAGTCCCACTGACCTGACCTCAAACCTGCCTCAACTGTGGCTGATCCTTGTTGCTGTCACCCAACCCCCTGTTCTTGACGAGGTACTGTGGGAATGGGTAGTACCTCAGTGGCAAGGCCACTGCCTGGCTGACCATGGTGGCCCTTGGTGCTCCCCAGCAAGTGTATTTTGCCTGCTGGGAAGCTCAGTCCATGAGCTTCTCATGTAAAACTCTTAGAATTGCTTCCAGGGCTTTTTGACTTAAGAGCTTTTGCAACTAGAAGCCTCTGTGGAGTTTCTGTGTTGAATATTATAGTGTATTGAGATAAGATTAGACTCATTCATTCTGGTTGTAGTGGTTAGTGTTCTCCATAGCCTAGTTTTCTATGGAAACAAGGGTTAGGTAATGTGTTAAGTGTTGGACACTGGATTTTTGTCCAGTTGGATTTAGTTTGAAACAGGTAGTCTGACTTTGAATCTACAAAGCTTCTATATATGTCATGACGGGAGCTCAAGAGAGGAAACAAAAATCTAGCTCATATTCATTAAAGGTACAAAATACATGCTTTTTAGAAGTTTGATTTTCATGAATCATGCTGGTTGCAGAGCTGCCTGGAGCCTTCTGGTTGGCTGAGATTAGGTGTGCAGTTAGTACCTGAATGTTTTCTTTTTACTCAAAGAATGTGATAACTGTTGTGTTTGTTCTGAATTATCTTCTCTAGCTCTTCATATCCTAGATAGAAAAGCCTTAACAATTCCCCACTACTCTGCTTCCAGTTCCTGCAGCTTTGGCTTCCTTTTGCATATAATTTCTCCAATTTAAACAAAAGAGTTGGTACATGTGTGGTGGCAGATACAACAACTGCTGTGGGTCTTGCTAAGAGAGTGGAGTCTCTCCATCAAACTCAGGCAAGTTGTCCATGTACCCATACAAGCCTAGAACTACTTCACACATTTTTGCTACTGCCACTGACCAGGACTTTAACCTTACTCATTTTGCACCCTTATTCCTCCCCTTCCTTATCTGTAAAATGTAGATAGATACCAGTTTGTAGGATTCATGTAGAACACTTACAAATCATCTCGGCACTTTTAGATGAGAGGAATGCCTTTTTGAAAACAAGATACTTCTGGTTGCCACAAACACAGAATAACTTGACAAAGCCATGCAGAGGGTGTGTGTATGTGCACGTAATCACAGAGGAAAAGCTTTCAAGAAACACTAGGTAGTACATACATAATTGCATATGTAAGCATGAATATTTCAGTGAAGATACTTTGTATTTCTATAATGTTTTATGCCAGTGGAACCTATTAAATATCACCCAGTAATGGAAAAATAACTGTTTCTAGGTTGAAATGAACAGTTGTTTAGATATAAGAAATACAGAAATAATTGCACAAAACCTGCAGTATATGATTACAAGAACCTTGTGTAGTTCTTTCCTGTTCTCGTTTAGCCCAAACCAGTTGCTTAATCAAGCATGAACTGGATTTTTGATTTGCTTTAAATGCTTAAATGAATTTCAGTTAATTTAATTAAGTTTTCCCCAGGATCAGCATTTGAAAAATACAGAAGAGGTGTGTGTTAGGGCTGGAGAGGGAAAGAAAATAAATGGAGATACTTGTCACAGGTCGTAAAGTCTGGCTTTACAATACTTTATATTCATGAAAGACACAACCCTACTGATCAGTTCAGTACAGCCAATGCAAGAAAATATTGACGGTGCTCTATAATTAAAAATAGCATTTCCTCAATGTGTGTTTGGTGGTAAAGTCACAGAATTTTTCTACGCGTGCTGTAACGTAATAATAGAAATTCACCTGCAATTAACAGGTGAAAATGTTAATGATTGAGAGAGTGGCTTGACTTGCCTAAAGGAAAAACAGCATCGTTCTTAAGATATGACATAAGCAGTGGTCTCTCCAGTGCATTTAACAAATAAAAAATCCAGAGCAGATCATAAAGGCTTCACTGGGGAGGAAAGAACTGGACATTACAGGTTCAGAAGTCTCAAACCTGAGTATTCAGAGGGGTCACATTTTGACTTTCTTCTAACATATGCTTTACAGGTTTCCAAAACCCATGTTGCACTAAAAATTTTAAGACCACAGTGGGAACAGGGAACTGCTAGTCACAAAAAAACCCACAAAACCAAACCAACTCCAAGTCCAACAAGCAAACCAAAATAATGAATAGGAATTAATTCTTACATCACATCAGGGTCTGTTTATTATTTCCTATAGGCAGAATACAGTCCTGGCTGTGTTTGTCGTTACGATACTGCACAGGTGTCTGGTGTTCGTTTGTGGCTTTTTTCTTGTTGGATGTGGCAGGGTTTCTATTTGCACAATGCAGCTGCAAGGAAGAGTGACAGCCAAATAGTTTTCCCTTGGAAAAGTAGTATTTTCATACACAGAGAGGAGCAGTTGTAGCAAAACCAACTTCTCTTGTTTCCCTTTTGGGAGCTGCAAATCAAGGCTTGTAGTTAGACACTATCTTCCTTCCAGCTCTCCATTTGCAATGCTGGCAAAAGTGTAGGGCAAGGACTAATCCTCTGGGAATGCAGCAATTATAACTAAGTAAGTATTAATTGCTGCATTCCAAGGTGATTAACATAGTTGAACCCAATTACACCAAAGCAAAGCTTCACTCTGAGGCATTACAGTGCATTGAAATGCAGTGAAGCAGTGTAGGACTGTCAGTCCTCAACATTTTGTCAGTAAAAATTGTGGGCTTACAAAAAAAAAACCAGCAGACTTTGTCTTTTTGATGCCTTAGTCTACTGCATGAACAGTATGTTTATGAACAGATTGCTCACTGGAGAAAATTTTTGCTTATTTATCACCCATTATCTTTGTGTGAACTGCTCCAAAAATGATTTCAATACCTGTTGAATTAGTCCTGGCACTGCTGGATCAGGGGCAGGACTCTGCAGTCTGTCTGGACTCCCCCTTCTCAAAGTTGTCCCACTCCTCCATCAGGTAATTTTGTCTGCAAGTGCTAACTGTATCAAACAGGCTTAGGAGAACTTAACTGACTTGTTCTCAGTCTCAGCAGTCTGTGCTGATGATTGCAGGCAAGCTTTCTGTGGTAGCAATACATGAGCCAGAGGGCAGTGTGTAGTTATTTTTTAATCCTCAGTTTGACTGTGGTGTGGGTTTGTTTTTCAGTTTTCATTTATTTCCTGTTAAAACTGCAAGCTCTGCTGCCTTTTTTATTTATTTTTTTTATTTTATTTTTTTTTAATAGTAGAAGCATGACTGGTAAGCATGAAACAGGGATGCTTCTGGGGTTGAATCAGCCCATTGCATTAGAGCTGTTCCAGGATTTTTGTCCAGAGAAAGAATGGCATATTGATGCACAGAGCATATACTCTATTTCTCTGACCTTTCCCTATTTAGGCATCAAAATAGACTGGCCTAACTGCTGTTCCCCCTTACTGTTTGGGGGAGCAGTGCTACTATTGCCATTAATCCCCCTTTCTTATATAGCTCTTCATTCCTTTTCTTTACCTTTGGCCTCAACTCTTTATTCAAAGTGATAATTTGCTGGTTTTCTGCCAGAGGGAGAAGCTATGATCAATAACAGGAGGAGATGGGTCAGTGGAATAGTGATGAGCAGTGTCATTTGTTCCTCTGAAAATACCATTACCTAAAAATATCAAGACCTAGTATGATATTATTTTAGCTTTTGGACAAGGCGTCTGTGAGGTTTAGGGAGCATGCTAGGGAAGCAGAGGTCTTTTTCTTCTCACTAATTCCTTATTTCAGCCAACCTTCTGTCACACAGGGAAGTGGGTAGAAAGGGCTTTATCTGGCTCGCACTGGAATATAGAACTCATACACAAGCACAGCCATCTCTGGGACCAATGACACCTCTTTCAGGTTCAGTGCATGACAGCTTTCACATTCTGTGCTTTGCCTTCTGCCTGGCAGTGATTCAGAGGTGATACAACCTTCTCTTGCAGCTTTTGGGGTAGAGAGCCACAAAAGAAACCCTCCTCAAGGTTGGGGAGAACAGAAGCTCAGCAATACTGTCTAGGTATTACAGAATGGTGTGTGGCACTAGGTTTGAGTAATACTGGTGTCTAATAATTTTGGTATTGCCTGGAACAATATCTAATAATTATTAAATAAGACAATAATACTGGTTTATTAATGTTTTAGCCTTCAGTACTCCAGACAGCAAGGTGATGAATTTCTTGGTCTCCTTCTTCCAAGAACTTCTATTTATTTTGCTTTCAAAAGATTATAAATTCTTACTACTTAAATGCACAGTAACTTACCCTGCCAGTTGTCTTTATACTACTGGGAAACAGTTATCACCAATCGTGTTCCTGTACCTGCTGGGGATACACATTCCTTTTTCTTAGAATTAGAAATAGGAAATATATATGTATATTCATTGAGATATTTGTGCTTCCTCCCAGCCTAAGCTCTCATCCTGAAGTGTATTAGTAGTACTACTATTGTAAACACTCTGCAATCTTCCATTGAACCAGTTGTATTTTGATGGTGGGTAGCTAAGCTTTAGGTGCATCTAAGTCATGTTTTAAAGCCTTTCTAATTTACCATTGTCTAAAATGTACTTTCTATTTGTGTTAATAAAAGTGAAAATTTGTATTTGTTCACATTTGAAAAGAGCACAATAATGTGAGATTTCTTAAAAAGTGAGAGTTGGCACCACTGTGTCAAGTGGTATGATTTTTCTCATATAAATGCCCTAACACTGCTGGAGAAATTGCTTCTGCCTACTACCCTCTCAGGAGGACTATCCTAAACCTCCAGATTTCACCTTCCTTTCTTTTATTATGCTGGGTTTCTTCTCCCCTCTTTGCACTAAATGAATCCCCGCACAGAAGTGGGCAGGGGAGAGCAAAGGGGGTGACAGGGGCTTAGGGCAATATGGGAGGCACTGTAGTCACCATGCTGGTTGGAGAATGTGGACCTGTGGGAAACCAGGCTTGGCTGCTGCTGGGCAGACCTGCTCTGTTTTATGTTGCTCCAAGGGCTGTGTTAACGGACAAACCCACAACGTGGGACTGAAAAGCCTTGTTAGCTCCTAGAGAGCAGCGGCCTTCAAACCACTCATCCTGATCCTGGGGTCCACTGGTCTGCCTTGGGATCTGTTGCTAGAAGACAGCTTCAAGCAGCAAGAAGGTTGAATCCCATGGCCCGCTCGGTAGGTAGGAGTAGCATGCATAGCTAGGGGCTGCAAGATTTTTGTTTCAAGCCACATGAGGAGGAGATGCATCTTGTGCTCTCCCTCAGAGGTGGCGCAGGCTCTCCATACAGGCTGTGATGGCTCAGAGGACAAAATGGCTTCAGAGCTTTGCACATACTAACACCCTTTCAAAATAGAAAGATGCAGCATGTTCACATCAAAAGGCATCTCCATTTCATAGTCAGGTACAACTGAAATGATCCAGGCAGGGCCAGTTGTGCTGGTGTTTTATGTCCCATGGATGGTGTCTGCAAGAATGGGCACAGTTCAACTCTCCCTGATGCTGGCCACTCCAGCCCTGAGCGGTCAGCCATTTTCAGTGCTCACAGTAAGGCCATATTTCAACTAGATTTAGAAATAAACTTTACACCTTTACCAGGTTAGCCAGCTACTTGCTCAAGAGTGACTATAGCTTACATTTCAAACTCCTACTTATGCCACACTGCACACTGGAAACAGTTATATAGTATTTCAAAGTCAAGACAAATTTGATTCCAGATATGCTTCCTGAGCTACTTGTAGAGATCAGCAACTGCTGACTAGGATGACCTAGGAACCATCAGATAAATTGAAAAAAAAAATCAACAAACCAACCAACCACCAAAAACCATCTTTCAAAGAGAAAAAGAAAGAAAAAATACAAAAGGAAACCCCAGACATCAATACCAAGAGTGTAAAACCCAGCCCTCGGAGGCTGTGAGGCACAGGAAGGTTCTTGCTTTGGTGCTCCTGCCAGCAGGTGGACTCTGAAAGCCCTCACAGGAGAGCTTCCTGTGGGGTTGGCAGATGAGCAAAGCCTGTGGAGGAACCTCCTCTTCTCCCTGCTTGTGGCCTCCTGCTCCCCACCACTGCTGGAGAAGCAAGATGAAGTGGAGGAGGATTGTGATCTTTGCCATCCTGCAGGCACAGCTCCCAGACACAGGTAGGGCAGGCTTTTATTGATGAAAAGGCATGATGTTTCTTTGGTGGATTCCCCACCATTTTGGAAGGAGGAGGGTATCTGTGTGGGGGCCTTAGCCATGTCTGCCATCTTGATCATGGCTGCTTGTGAACGCAGTGGTAGGACTTGAGTTGAACTGCCCTGTGATAGAGAACCTCTGGAGAACTGGGAGGAGGAGGTGGTGAGGACAGCCATTGTCTATGTGGCCTCCTCTTGCTGGACTGACTGCCACAGCTGAACAACAACTTGTAATTAAATTAGGCTCTCATCCATCAAGCCCTTCCTTGGGATTTTTAAAAGGGGAAATTTGATACGATAATGAAAACATAGTAACTTGCAGTAATCTGCGCTAGAGAGGCTTTTAATTTAGTTAGGTAATATTAGAGCCATGCTACTTCTGATGGCATTTCAGTTTGCACTAAATAACATACCCGGTATGCTGGAAACGCGAACATAGGTGATGAGGAAAAGGGTAAGGTCCTTCCTTTTGTGTCTCTGCCTTCATGCTTGTCCCTCCTAGAGCATAAAATGAAGTAACTTTTACCTTTATATGTTTACTTGTGGTGGTGTGTAAGCTGGCCCTACTTGGGCTGAAAGTGAAGCAGCTTTGGTATGCACGAATCTTTACAAATTGTATTAATTTGGGGAGAGAGAGGAATGTACTTCTTGGTAGCTTAGTAGATCAAAAGAGCAGCAAAATTTACATCCAGAGAAGGCTTCAGCCAAGCTCTGAATTTGGAGAAGTCAGCCAATACTAGTAAGCCACTTTCGAGCATGTATTAAAGCAAAATCCATTGGGGGAGCTTCCCTCACAATGTACACCCTAACTGTACTTGACAAATACGCTATCCTTGCACTGAAGAGTTTTGGTGACTGAAGAGCTTTTTATTTGAAAGTTTTCTGGAGATTAGAGAAGGGGTTTGCAGCTGCTTGTTAATGCAAGGGGCCTCTGCCCCTTTCTGATACCTAAGTATCGTACTTCTGATACTTATATTTTGTACATTTCTCCCTATCTATTAGATGCATATAAGGATATATAGGTATAGAAATTATGTCAAAATGCATCTGCAAAAAACTTTTTAAGTTTTCTCTATTTTTAATCTGTCATAAGACATCAGTAGTTCAGGTTCCTATTTGTACATTTTAGCAGAAAACTGTTACTGAAAAATATGTAATAGCATTTGCAGATGGGTAAAGCTAGTGCTACAATCGTCTCTGGTGCAAAGCTTTTAG